CTAGAATGTTAACACAAATCAAATTTATTGAGCATCCAGTATATGCTCATTGTTGCTGCAGCTAATGGAAGAATCTAAGCGTGACTAAGACATCGAAGGTTGTTTATAGTATAAGTTTTTTTGTTTAGTGAATCAGACTTTGGAAAATATATCAGATCCAAAACTTACTAGCATTAAGACTAGACAAATTATTTAATCTCATGGAGAATCTGTTTTATTATCTATAAAGTTGGGGAAATTATATTTATCTTATAGTATTATTTTGAAAATTAAATGAGATCCTGAAAATAGAGTACCTCCTAGAGTAAGGGTTCAGGTATGCACTGAGTAAATGCCAGCTGTTGTCATAATTATTCATTCATTTAGGAACTTTTATTGTGCTCTTACTATATTGTCACCATCATTATTATTAACATTGTTATTGTTTATTAAATATAATTCTTATCCACAAATAACATATATCCAGTGAAGAATATGAGTCTTAAGGCAATTGTAACAATTTTATGACCACATTCATTATTTTATTTGAATATAGAAACTATCATAAGGAATTACATCTTCAAGGTAAAGACAAAGCAACGTGGAAGTATAGATAAAAATTATTATTCTGACTGGAATATTCAGAAAGGCTTCAAAGAGAAGGTGATAATTGAGTTTGATTGCAAAAGAGCAGTGGGATTTCAGTAGCAAAGAAACGGAAGGGAGGTTGGGACGGAAAAATATTCAAGTCAGAGAACACAAAGACGAAGATGTAAAGACTTCAAGAAATGTGGAACTACTGTTGTAACTGGACAACAGACAATCATGCTATAAATGAGGAGTACCTCCCATGTGTCAGGCATTGAGGATATACTCTTGAAAATGACTACAATAATTTTTTCCTTCCTTCCTTCCTTCCTTCCTTCCTTCCTTCCTTCCTTCCTTCCTTCCTTCCCTCCCTCCCTCCCTCCCTCCTTCCCTCCCTCCCTCTTTCTTTCCTTCGTTCTTCCTTTCCTTTTCCTTTTCCTTCCCTTTCCCTTTCCCTTTCTCTTTCCTTTCCTTTCTTTCTGATGGAGTTTCACTCTTATTGCCCAGGCTGCAGTGCAATGGCGTATCTCGGCTCACTGCAACCTATGCCTCCCAGGTTCATGTGATTCTCCTGCCTCAGCCTCCCCAGTAGCTGGGATTACAGCTGGCTGCCACCACTCCTGGCTAAATATTTGGATTTTTAGCAGAGACAGGGTTTCACCATGTTGGCCAGCCTGGTCTCAAACTCCTGGCCTCAATTGATCTGCCCTCCCCCGCCTCCCAAAGTGCTGGGATTACAATAATTTTCACTTTCATGGTGCTTATAATACACTAGATGATGTGACCAAGGAAGAATTGGACCCAGGTCATAGATGACCTAAATATGACCTTAAGATGTTTTAATGTTCTACTATGAACATTTATAAGGAGGAATTAAGTATTGAAGGCTGTGTGTCAGATAGAGTAACCGACTGGCCACTCATATAAAAGTGAACTACTGCATTGTGGATGCAGAGAGGCTAACGTTGAGAGACAGTAGTCATCCTGACAAGAAATGAGGAAGGTGAGCACTAAGATAAAGATAAGTAACATGAACAAAGATAATTAAGATTTTGTAACAGAGTTGTTAGAACTGATGTGATACAATGATGAGGGAAGGAGAGGAATTGAACATGATCTTGAGGACTCTACTCTTGGAGGCTTAAAGGAATGTGTTTTCTGTATTTGTCACAGGGAACCAGGAAGAAGAGCCAGTTAGGGTCAAGAGTTAGAACATGTTAAGTTGAATAGGTTTTGAAACTCAGACTTGCCCATAAAGCTGTTAGGAATTGGATTATTTTGTTTGGAAGAGGTCAGAACTAGTCAAGAGATTTCATAGTCCCTGGTAAAAATATGGTGTGAAAACCTTAAAAGGGATGAGTTCATAAATAGAAAATAGAATTAAAAGAAAACATCAGAACTTTACAGAACAGCTTGTTCATAACTTTAGGAGTTGTATTATAGATGGTTCTATAGAAACACAAACTCCTTCATTTAGATTTAACAATAAACAATCAGTTCTTTGTTATGAGAGGAGGAGACCATTCAAACACCATGCTGCTTCTTTTCCTGCTATTTCAAAATGTCTTGGTTTCTTCATAGATGTCTAGAATTCTCATGAGCAGGGAGGTGGATGAATAGAGACTGTTTCTGTTCCCAGAGAGTCGCTTTGGAGGATGCTGAAATTACGGACGAATTGAAGACACAGATTCACCGTAAAGCTGAAACAGCTAAAGTGTCAGGGCCTGCCACTTGCATAGGCCTCTTACAAGACACTACAAGGAATTATAAACATGCTTGTGGGCAAATGTTTTTGCAAATTTGGCAAAAGTTAGTTATTTAAACTTTCATTAATTCAGAGTTCTGTCTCTATTCAGATTTCCCCTCCCTTTTCCTTCCCTTCTTATTGGGTAGTTGTGGAAAGGCTACTGGCAATGTTTTGGGGGAAGTTGAAGTAAGAATACATTTAGTTTAGGTTTAGTGGAATATATGTCTACATTTTTTGTAAAACAGCTTTATTGAAGTAAAATTGACCTACAAAAACCTGCATATATTTTTACAACTTGATGAATTTGGACATAGGCATACCCCCATGAAGCTGTCACCACAATTAAGGTAACAGACAAACCCATCAAGTCTAAAAGGTTTTTTGTGGCCTTTTTTTTTTTTTTTTTTTTTGGTGGTTGTTGTTGTTTTAAGAAGACTTAACATGAGATATGCCCTCTTAATACATGTTTAAGTGAACAATACAGTGTTATTAACTATAGGCACTATGTTGTACAGCATGTCTCTGGAACTTATTTTGCATAACTAAAACTTTATGCCTATTGAATAGCAACTTTGCATTCCCCCTCTCCATTTCCTGACAGTCACCATTATATTCTCTGCTTCTATGAGGTTGACTATTTTGAATACTTCATATAAGTGGAGTGTTTGTCCTGGAACTGGCTTATTTCATGTAGCATATTGTTCTCCAGGCTCATTCATTTTGTTGCAGATGGCAGAGTTTCCATCTTTTTTAAGGCTGAATAATATTTTTAGTCATTCTGTATATTGTTGGTATTGCTGGTCACCCGGTTTTTGGCAGAAATGCAGCATATTTTGTTGCATTGTCATGATAATTTGTCTTTTTGCATTTTAATTAACATGGGAACTCATTCCATTCAGAAGACTGAGCCCCAGCGTCATTTTTCCTTTCAGACTCAAAAGTTTATTTTTATGGGGAAACAGACAAAATTTACTATATCACCTTTAATTGGTGCGATTGTTTCTTATACAGAAAATAATAATCGTAGATAACATTTACTAAATGCTTACCACTTTTAGCTACTTTCAACTACATTTTATAAGTGAGGAAACTGAGACATAGAGAAGTTAAATAAGTGGCAGATCTGGAATCCAAAGCCAGCACTCAGGTTCCCATCTGTAACTTAAACCACCAGGGAACCCTTACTCTCTGTCACTGAGTTCGAAGCCAGAAGTCCCTGAGTGTAAAATCCTTGGGGTTTTAGACAAAGCAGTTAACTTCTAATGATCCTCAGGCTTCTTATCAGGTAAATGGACAAAGCAGTTAGCTTGTAATGGTCCTCAGGATTCTTATCAGATAAATGAAGGTGGACTAGAATATAATGTTGGTAACTTTGGGGTGATCTCATGACCCTTTGAGAAAGCTGTGATCCCTTTCCATGACATAGAACAGACGTAATTATGTAATTAACAAACATTCTTGGACACCTTGAAACCAGTGTCTTAGCCCTAGGTTAAAATCCCCTGAACTAGAAAAAATTTAAATTTCTTACAAATCTAATATTCTGCTATCTTAAGAAGAGCTGACTTCTAGTTTATTAGTGACTTTTTAAACAGGACACAGTTAACTATTAAGTGATTTTCATGATATGCCTTATTGATGGGTTGGTTTGTGTTGTATTCTTTCTTATGATCTTGCATTTTCTGAATGCTGCTGACATCTTTCGCTTGAAGACTTTTTTTATTGAAAGAAAATTTTTAGATGCATCTGGATTGAACTGCTCTGAAGAAGTTATGGTGTTTACCTGAAGCTAATAAAATAATTTATGTTTTCCTAGTAAATGAGATCTGAAGAACAACCAAAGTGTCAATAGCAAAATCAATTTGACAAGGATCTACTATGAAATTAGGTTTCTCAAATAAAATGTAGTTTAACAAGAGACCATTCACTCTGTCTTCCTTCTTATGGGGATACTTTGCATTAGAATGTAAAACTGATGGCATGTTTTGAAGTCGTAAACTTAGTATGTATCAAACTTCATGGCTTTCAAGATCAAAGGATTAAGTTTCAATTTAAAAGTATGGATTTTTTTGTTATAAAAACAAAGTGTCTTACTAGAAAACAGAACAAGAAACATTTTATGTATTCTTTCTATGTCACCTACAGAAATTGCAAAAGCATCCATTTGAAGTTGTGTAAGATTTAGTATACACAATCAGGAAAGTACTCTGTATAGATTTTTAAAAATGCACTAGCACTCTTCTGCCCTTGAGTCAAAATGCCTAATATTTTGTTTTTTTTCTATGTAAAATTTGGTTGAAAGATTGTTCATTATTGTTGAATTTCAACATGTTTGCAAATTAAATGATGCAAAACTCAATAAAGTAAAATACACAAAAGAGCAATTAACATGTTATCTCAGTAAGTATGTAGAATAATGAGAGAACACACTGTTCTACACTGTAGCATAGAATTAAGATGTAGTCATAAATCAGGAAAATATTATATCTTGTTTAGGTGCACAGGTGGCTTTTAGAAAGATTGATTAGTTCCTCTTTCCCCCTTGAGATGTGAGTTCATAGTTATTCCTGCAAAATTAAACAGAGTAATTCCTCATACTTCCTACAGTAGGTATGCTTCAATGCAAACAGCATGGCAGAGATAAATGTTTGCAAAGTGTTCATCTCCTTGTCTATTTCTATTCCAGATGCTCTCTACGATGTCATCACTGTGGGAGCCCCAGCTGCCCATTTTCAGGGATTTAAGAATGGTGGTCTTCGGAAACTACTCCATAGATTTGAAACAGAAAGAAGAAAGTAAGTAAAGACAGGAGGAATCACAGATTCCATTAATAACATCTCCCCTTTGGGGAAGTCTATATACAAGGTTAGAATAAAGAAGATTGGTCCATTACAATGTATAGTTCTTGACATCTTAACCTATTTAGTAACATAGAGTTGTTAAATATCTCAAAACTACCAGAGAAGAAATTAGATTAAACAAATTGCCGAAGTGTCTTGCTTACTGAGTGGCATTGTGAGGACAGAAAATTTTCAGGAAGTCATATGACTAAGGGGTGATATTCTAGTGTCAACTATTGCTTGCTCAAAGGAAGTGTTCAGAGATTTAGCTAGAAATATAGTCTAACTTAACTGTGGAGCCAAAGATACTGAATAGAGAATATGGCTCCTAATTTATGGTTTTTACCCTACTAGTAATTTCCATGCTGACCTCAGGCTCATTTAATTGTGCCACTTGAAAGAGACACAACAATACAGAATTCTATGTTCTGTTCCTTAGGGAAAAGGCATGAGTATTACCACTATTATTTGTAATTTTATTATACTCTTTCCCCAGTTTTTGTTTTTAGATGCTTTTAAATATTGCCTTATCAAGCTTTTGCAGCAGTAGTTTATAGTTCTGCCCCATGTCTCATCTGTTGAGCTTATCCTATAATATTCTCTGTCTATGACCACGCTCATGTAAAACATAAAGCGCATTATCCAGGTATGAAGAATAACTACTTTCCTTTTCAAATAGTTACTCGTCTTAAGTTAAGAATCTCAATTTTTTTGGTTTTAGATTCCAAGGGTATGTGTGCAGGGTTCCCCCACCCCGCCCCACAGTAAATTGCATGTCACAGGGATTTGGTGTACAGGTTATTTTGCCACCCAGGTAATAAGCATAGTATCTAATAGGTAGTTTTTCAATACTCACCTTCCTCCACCCTCCACCCTTAAGTAGGTCCTGGTGTCTGTTGAAGAATCCAAATTTTGAAAGTTAGGGAAAAATACTCATTCTTCAGTCACAGTTGATTTAGTAATAGTATTAGAAAATCGGTTTGAGTGCCAAAACCAGAAAATTTTTTAAAGTTTTATCACGTTTGTCAAATATAAAATTTGTTTTTTGGTGCCCAGATGTTTAGGAAGAAAGCATTTAAAGGAGGTGAGAGTTGAATAATTGACTTACTATCATATAAATATATAAACTACCAATACACATATGTTTTTCTTTTTTCCTTTTATGGAATTGACTTTGGTACAATATTAACTCTGTTATGGTTCTTACTATGATTTTTCTAGTTTTTTGTTCATTTTTGTTTGTTTGCTTTTGGTGGGTAAAGGTTTATAGTTTTATAAAATTATATTGCATGGGTAGATTAGAGTAACCATCACTATTATAAACATCATATAGAACTGTTTCATCACCACAAAGAAACTCCCTCAGGTTACCCATTAATACTCACACCCTTCTCACAAATATTATTGCAGTTGGGAGTGGAAGTCAAAGTTTCAACCATGGGCTCTCCAGGGGAGAGGCGACTCCTGTTTACTTTATGGGAGTTGGAAGTTAATTCACACCACAGGCTCCATGGGGGAGGGGATGCCATGCCTACTGAAGTGGAGGTATGGGTGGAAGACAGGGTTTTGCCCATGGAATCGAGTGGGGATGGAGGGTGTTTCTCACTGATTCCCTACTGTACCATTCTTCTAGTGGAGAAGGGACATGACATTTTTGTGGTATTCACTTCCAGAACAGGTTGGTATGGCTGGGCCACCCTGTTCCAGGTTCTTTGGCTTTTCCTGGGTGCTATTTTTTGTTGGTTCTTTGCTGCATTGAGAAATTCTGTGGCGCTCAGTTTGGGACATTATAGGAGGCAAAAAAAAATCCCATGGAACTCACTGTCATATCATTCCTTAAGTCCCGAGGTCCCTAACTAATATACCTTTTTAGTCTACCTTTTGGAGTCTTTTGATAGGTGACGTATATGTTTTATCTAGAATGTTTCATTGTGATTGACAGGGGAAATAAAATAGATTGCATTTACTCCATCTTGTCTGGAACTATGTCTCAGCCTTGAGAGTTGAGAGTTGACTTAATCTATTTTTTTTTCCTCAATTAAATTTTAAAGTGTATAACTCAATTAGAAGACTCAAAACTGCCCACAGGGCAGTCAGAATCCAGCTGAGCATATAAAGCATCAGTATGTGAAATATGGAACCTAACCCTATAATTTTATAAAATATATTTCTGTCAAAGACAACTGTTGAGTTCTATGGTTAGACTCTAACTAATATTTCTTAAGGTTTAAATATTTGCATAAATATTTGAATCCTTCACTTTTCTTCACTTTTTACTGGGCTGTTATATATCAACACACACACACACAAACACACACACACACACACAGATCTTCGGTTACTTTTAAGATAAAAGTAGAATTGTGTTCAGTGCTTACAAACACTGATTGCTTTAAATGTTTTATTTGTGTTTCATTGCTTTATTGATAAAATACAATAAAGATTTTAAAAGAAATAAAGAAGAACTTTGTGGATCTTAAAAGAATTCTCCATAGGGCAGTGGTTTGGGACAAATACTGCTTGCTGAGGCAATATACTGTTGAACATGACTATCAGCCTACCTGTTAAATTAAGAGCTAACTTGAGTCGAGATTTAATGATTACAGAGTTATCACACCATGCAATACATTTTCTGCAGGCTTTTTCAGCAACAAATATTGCATTTCTCTGTCAACAGCAATGTATAGAAGAATGACTATATGAAATGAGTAATTTGGACTTTAGGTTAAAGTAGACAATGATATTTTGCAGGACATGAAATCACAAGTGAGGAAATTTTTCTTTGCCTCGTCTTTCATTTGATATTGCCCCCAACCAAAAACAAACAAACAAACAAACAAAAAAAAACAAAAAAAAAACCCGATAGCCAACTCTTTTAGGCCAGATTTTTTGGGAAAAACCACAGTCATTGTACTATTTCACCTTCACTTATTTTTTTTTTCTCATCTAAGCCAATAAAATATTGTCATCTTAGAAAAGATATAATTTATGTTTATGTCCATTGATGATCTCTTTTGTGATTAATACAATGGCCACAAAATGAAAAGCGTTTTAGCATAAGAACATTGCTTATAGTATTTGTATAAAGCAATTCAGGTCATACAACCATATTTATTAAAAGTTATGAGATAATTAGGGAGATTGAACTTTTAAAGCACAGTATCTGAGTACCTTACTCTTGTGCTTAGAAACTTTGAGGAGTCCATGCTTATCCATTGGGCATTCAAAGCACCCATGATTTTCCCACCAATGTCTACCCTCATCACCCACTTCTATTGTTGTTTCTAAAACGCTGTATAAACTATTTCCTAGATGGGCCTCATGTATTTCTACCTTTTCCTTTTTCCTTGTTCTGTTTCCTTTTACAAGAAATTATTCTGTTCTCCTCATTTTCTACTATTTTTCATTTCTTTCTGTGAAAGCCATTTACATAATCCTACTCAAAATTCTACACATGGTCCATGTGAAAATTTCACCCCTGTAATTAGGCTTTCCTGATTTTTCAAGTTGATTTTGCTCTCCTCCCTAATATTTTATTTTTACTTCTCTTGTAGCCTTACTAGGCCAAAGTAATGTATTAAGGTTTTTCTTGTGTGATGTTTCTGTAATACATTATACTTTCCTTGAATAAGACATGGAGTGCCTTGTGTATATAAGTATTATGTAGATCAAATACACGGGCATTGGAATTCACATATAAATCAGATATAGTTGCTGACTTAAAAGTGCTAAAAACTAGAATTGGAGAAAAAGTTTCACAAATAATCATAATGCAATAAGATTAATAATATAGAGAGCAGGGGTTACCAACCTTGGCTGCATACTGGAATCACCTTTGGAGCTTTAAAACCTTTTGTTTATAACAGGATATCACCCCAGAAAAATTAAGTCAAAGCCTTTGGTAGTTGGGCCCGGGGATTGATACATTTTAAAAGCTTCCCAGGTGAGCCTAATGTGTAGCCAGGGTTGAGAACTACTGATATAGCTATGAACGAATAGTGCTATCTGAAGACAGATAAAAGGTTTGGAGAATAAAACCAGAAATACCTACACAAATGAGTTGAACTTGAAAAACTATATAGAACTTCAATTGGTATATATCAAGAGGAAAGGAAATCTAAGTAAAAGAATATTTATTGAGATATAAAGTATTACAACTCACTTATTGGAAATTTTTGTTTGGAGAATCCTAAACTCATTAGAGAGTTGCAAAATGGAACCGAATGTGAGGGTAAAGCTATAAGAATTTTGATCTTGGACAATCTGGGCTTGAGTAACGTTCAGACACACACAACTGAACATATCATAGAGGATTTCATTCTGAAAACTTGATATCTTTCTAAGATAACCAAAATTCTAATTACACATTTTTTAATAGACCCCAATCAGGATGTTTGTGACTTATGTATTCTCTTGTAACATCAAACACCTACTTGTACTTAGTGTCAGTTGATTTACTTCAACACCATGTGAAAGTTTGTGGATTTCTCCCTCAAAATATGAATCAAGTGTTTACTTTTAGCATTGTTTAACAGAAAGGAAAATTTATTCCTACAACATATATTTTGCTTTCTTTAAGCTTTTTTTTTTTTTTTTTTGAGATGGAGTGTTACTCTATCACCTAGGCTGAGTGCATTAGTGCCATCTCCATTCACTGCAACCTCCACCTCCTGGGTTTAAGTGATTCTCCTACGTCAGCCTCCCAAGTAGCTGGGATTACAGATGCACACCACTATGCCCAACTAATTTTTATATTTGTTTGCAGAGATAGGGTTTCAACATCTTGATCAATCTGGTCTTGAACTCCTGGGCTCAAGGGATCTGCACACCATGGCCTTGCAAAGTTTTGGGATTACAGGCATGAGCCACCACACTCAGATTTTTTTTTTCCCTTCCCTTCCCTTCCCATCCCATTGCATCCCATCCCAGAGTTTTGCTCTTGTTGCCCAGGCAGG